ATTTACTCAATGTACTCGCTTAAAGACGAGTCCAACTGTAAACTGCACCGACCCCGATCTGCCGACGCATTTTGTTAGGAGTAATCATTGCAACAACATAGATCCTGATCTGCAGGTGCATTATGCTACTGCTGGCCAGGATCTACGTTGTTTGCCGTCGGACTCGACCTATAGCGAGCACATACAGTATATCAAACTGTGTAACAAGGTTACTGTTTCCTCTCCTTTTCACCTCATGCACATTTGGTTATCTTTGCATCCATTTACTGTGAATAGGTGGATCATGCTACATGATTCCCCAAGTGCTAAATATCGCTATTAACTGCCTCACTGCAGACATTGTAGCGATATGACTGAAAAATTGTTAATAATCTAAAATCACACACACACGCACGCACAAAAACAACAACATTGAATCCATTATTTTTATGCAGAATATTAAGGTTTCAAGTGAAAAATGTAATAATCTAGAATATACTCTCATTCCAGTTCAATACGATATATTTTTATGACTGTGGTCCTAAAATAAGAAATAGAAGAGTGAGAAGCAACAGATCTTGCAACTTTCGATACATAATATATTTCCTATTAAACACAAAGTAAAAAATGTAACCCCCCAAAAAAAACTTACATTTCGAAATAAATCCCAAATAATCCTAAAATCTCTAAAAGGTCTTATTTATTAAAGTTCTGAACAAACTAAAGTATTCAAAAATAAATCGAACGGGAAAGTGTTGATGTGCTCTGGTCGTGGTGATGTATCAATAATCTTTTGTTGAATTACATCAATGCAATCCAAGAATATATACTTATCTGAAATTTCGTCATGAGTCCAAGACTCTATTTCTAAGAAGTTAAATTATATAATTTGATTATATAAATTTCAGTCCTGCGTGTGCGTGTGTGATTTGAATTTTGAACGTAGCTTTAAAAACATTATTAGATATATCTTTACGATGTCCTCAGTGTGACAATTTATAGTAATGACTTGCACTGGGGCATCATGCCGCAGACATGAAAACATCATGTCCCACCCAATCACATTATCCTGACACTAGGCCGACCAGTCATAATACTAACTTCTTAATGCTGAGCGCCTATCGAGGCAGATGTTAGCACCATTTTTATAAATCTTTGGTGTGACTCGGTAGGAGTTCTAACCCGCGATCTCCCAAGTCGGAGAGGTCCTGGACATAACAACCTTACAGCTGATTCAGCTGAGATCTTACAGAACGAATGAATAATTTTTAGAAAAGCAAGATTAGGTAGTCATTCTGGAAGGTTCCAAATGTATACAGGATAAAACCTTACTTTTAATTACAAGGTTTATTACTAAAATTATAACAAGGACCATCCTGACACAGGCTAAAATAAAGATGTTTTATTTCTATTAATAATGATCGTAATATTAAACCCATGCGCATCGAGAAATTTTAGATATGTTTTAGTTCTTTACAGAATTAAATAAAAATCAATCACTGAAGTCAGGTAAAAAATGAACTTGATTTTGGACAAGCCAGCTACAAAATTACTATTTTACATAACACGCAGCATATAATGAAATAAGGAAGTATACCCGCACCCAAAACCAGCAAAAGCTAAAAAATGATGCAAAGTAAATATACACAACAAAATACTCGCCTGTAAGTCGAGAGTAACTTGAAATTTAAAATTTCATTTCAGTCTAAGCATATCTTTAAAACATAGTCCATGGGTCCTGATGGTAGGTTAAACACTAGCGTAGCGCATAAAAAGATGTATTACCGCATATTACTTCTTAAATTCTTTTCGTTGCGAGGAATCGTATATCATTCATTATTCATCGTCGTCGTCATCATCATCATCATCATCATCATCATCATCATCATCATCATCATCATCATCATCATCATCATCATCATCATCATCAACGCCTATAGCCCCTGCTAGGGCATAGGCTGCCAATCGCATATCATTCATTATTCATCGTCGTCGTCGTCCTCCTCCTCCTCCTCCTCTTCCTCATCCTCATTATCATCATCAACGCCTATAGCCCCTGCTATGGTATAGGCCGACAACAAACTATCCATCCATCCCTATCTTAAGCAAGTCTCTCCAGCTGTCCCAACGTCTTCTTTAGGTCCCGACGCCAGGTGTTTCTTGGCAGGCTCACCTATAAGTCGAGTCAAACTGCAAAGTAAATGGATCGCAATCTGCCGTAGCATAATGCGCTTGCAGGGTCTAAGTTGTTTATTCTACTGAATAATTCCATCAGACTGTACAAATCCAGATCTGCTTGCGCTTTAGGCGACGGCAAATCCGGGTTAGTGCAATTTGCAGCTGGACTCGTTTTATAAGCGAGTATACACGATACGCTTATCAACCCTCCCTCGCTTCAACCGTTAAGAAAGATGCAAGCATACACACTTTATAAATGGAGGTGTATTTAGTATAATATATTCATTTTCATGATAAAAATCTCTATGATAAAATCAGCAAAAATATTTTATATGTTCTTCTAGTTATACAAAAGATGTCATATTTTACGAGTTTCATTTACTGTCTTGGTTGATTTTTTTTCCTCTAAAGTTTTACTTTGTTAAAGTATCGTGCCTACATCTCTATTCAGAGCGGTAAATAATTTATTATTTCACCCCTACATGTTACATATATAACGTGCATCTATTCTTCTCTGATGTGAATTATCTCCGCAATGGTTTCTTGAGTTTGTATATTTGATTTTGTATATTTTACTGATAAGAAATCTTACGAAATTTCTCTTAGTAAATTCTGAGAATGAATTATGTTAGGTGCAATTACCTCAAATCTGGGTTAACTGGCCTTTAGTGGATGTGTACCAAGAAATAATATCTGACTTAATGATCAAATATTCATATTCTTGGTATTTCAAAGTGGCTGTTTAAAGGATCAGCGCGGCGTGAAATATAGATTTTATTGCCATATTTATGTTATATATTAAAGGCTAATCAAACCATCCCCAAAAAATATAAAAGCCATGAACATGTAAAGAACATGTGAAATATCACTATTAAGTGTTATGTCGTAATAATAAATCTTTACTTTTCGCTGATATAATTACCATGCTCCTTAAGTGGCCATTATTAATTTGAATTCGACCTATTTTCCAATCAAATGCTCATACTTTGTGGAATTAGAGTGTAATGTATTGAATTCGACCTATTTTTCAATCAAATGCTCATACTTTGTGTAATTAGAGTGTAATGTATTGAATTCGGCCCATTTTCCAATCAAATGCTCATACGTTGTGTAATTAGAGTGTAATGTATTGAATTCGACCTATTTTCCAATCAAATGCTCATACTTTGTGTAATTAGAGTGTAATGTATTGAATTCGACCTATTTTCCAATCAAATGTTCATACTTTGTATAATTAGAGTGTAATGTATGGAATGCGACCTATTTTCCAATCAAATGCTCATCTTTTGTGGAATTAGAGAGTAATATATTGAATTCGACCTATTTTCCAATCAAATGCTCATACTTTGTGTAATTAGAGTGTAATATGTTGACTTCGACCTATTTTCCAATCAAATGCTCATACTTTGTGTAATTAGAGTGTAATGTATTGAATTCGACCTATTTTCCAATCAAATGATCATATTTTGTGTAATTAGAGTGTAATATATTGAATTCGACTTATTTTCCAATCAAATGCTCATACTTTTTATAATTAGAGTGTAATGTATTGAATTCGACCTATTTTCCAGTCAAATGCTCATACTTTGTGTAATTAGAGTGTAATGTATTGAATTCGACCTATTTTCCAATCAAATGCTCATACTTTGTGTAATTAGAGTGTAATATATTGAATTCGACTTATTTTCCAATCAAATGCTCATACTTTGTATAATTAGAGTGTAATGTATTGCATTCGACCTATTTTCCAGTCAAATGCTCATACTTTGTGTAATTAGAGTGTAATGTATTGCATTCGACATTTTTTCCAATCAAATGCTCATACTTTGTGTAATTAGAGTATAATATATTGATTTCGACCTATTTTTCCAATCAAATGCTCATACTTTGTGTAATTAGAATGTGATATATTGAATTCGACCTACTTTTCCAATCATATGCTCATACTTTGTGTAATTTAGAGTGTAATGTAGCCCATCAAAAGGAAATCTACACTCAGTATACCTTGAAAATATTATCCATTAATAATTTGAATATGTCACGAGGCATATTGTTTATTGTTCTCTTGTTACCGCTCTCTTTCATAAAACACGAAGTATACAAGCGTAGTTTCGTCCTTATGTTTCCATACTGAAGTAGAAGCTTCATTATTGATTTGAGAAATGCTAACAGGTTTACATTTTTTCTGGCCCATTTATTTTCTATTTTCAGGTTGTTTTTTAACACAAAATTTCAGCTCAATCTCAAAAACCAATCACCTAAGAGAAGAGTTGCAGATGCAATCAACCATTGATCACATGCATAATTCCGGTTAGGAACTCATTATAATGATAATTTACTTCATTATGGGCGTCGGTGTGTGGGAGACATTTCTCAAACCCAGTAATATACCAGAAGACCTGATAGTGTACAGTGTAACGAGATTTTATGGTAGCGTAGAATGATTTCGAAAAATATACCTTTCTTAATTTCTTAACATATCAAATTCTGAAGATATTTCACTGTATACGCGTTGGTAACCACCATAATTTCTTTGGCTCTTGTACTGTTTGGATAAGAACGGCCGAATGAAACGGATTGAATTGGTAAAGTCGCACGGATAATACTGATAACTTTGTGACCTTAGGGTTGTTGTATTTTTTTTAAAAAAAATATTTTATATAATTGTAAATGCAGATGCATCTCTTTTCTTTCTATTGATAAATGGTTTACCATTAATTATATAGTTTTAAATTCCGTGATCCGTAATCAATGTTTACCGAACAATTTGATTCACTTTCAGAGTTTTGAAAGCTGCATTTTCATTGGCTAATTAAAAGATTATCAGAACATAATTCTTAAGAGGTCGTCCTCAGATCTTCACGTGGTTAGAGCGTCCGCCTAGGATGCAGAAGGTCGTGGGTTCAATCCCCGGTCGAGTCATACCAAAGATTTACAAAAAGGGTACTAACAGCTACCTCGCTTGACGCTCAGCATTAAGAGGTTAGTGTTAGGACTGGTTGGCCTGGTGTCAGGATAATGTGAATGGGTGGGACATCATGCTACATGTATGCGGCATGATTCCCCAGTGCTAGACATCACTATAAACTGCCACACTGCAGACATCGTAGCGATATGTCTGAAAAATTGTTAAAGCTACGTTAAAAATTATAAACTCCACCACTTCACTCACGAAGAGCAGCGGAGATCTGACTTTAATCAGATTGTGGATTTGGCTTAGTATGCTTGGCGATAGTGAAATCGGACATTTTCAGCTGTGGTTGTTCGCACTCTTGTAACGGAATTACGCCACTATATCACATGCATTTTAGTAATGTTGTTGTTGTTGTTGTTGGGCTTAACGCCATTTTCAGCACAAGATAGGCTATTCATGGCAGCCAGTATTAAATGGTGGAGGAAGAAACCGGGAAATCACCGGAAAGAACCACCGACCCACGAGAAGCTACTGGCAAGCTTTCTCACATATCCACATTCGCCGAATCCTAGACTCGAACTCACGCAGACAGAGGTAAGATGGCAGTGATCCGTAACGGACAGCGCGTTAGACCACTCGGCCACTCGGGGCCCCCATTTTAGTAATAATGTCGACATAAGGATGTAGCTCTTGATAACGATGATGAATGTTTCGCAATTTCGTACGAGCCCCGAGGTCGTGAACAACGTTTGATTTTTCGATTTGATTATGCGGTGCTAGACTGCAATTTTGAAGACCCGTTTCGTTGAGAAGCTTAAACAATAGTCTGCCTTTAAAACAGCTGGACACCAGACAACATCGGTTTTCGTTATGCACATATTGAGGAATCATGTTGAGATAATCAGTGCTTATTAAATAATCACTGAAAGACCGTTCTTCGTACATGAAAATTAACAAGCAACCTTGAGTGATGGGCTATCGCATTGTCATCTTTAAAACTGATTTGTCAGTACTGTGCTCCATGTGGTACTGACTACCTTTGAGTTCCTATGCTCATCCATTGATGTTGTTTAGACTCAACTCTCTGGCGCCAAGCTACTTGATTCGGTCGCAGATTGACCTAATGCCTCTGTAATTCCGCTTGGATAGCTGCAAGCATGCTAGGTTTTCTTTTGAAAACATAGAGTGACATATAACATCATGAGTGTTAATCGTACGGATGCTGATGGGAAAAAGTCAACTTCCTGACGACACGTCTTAGCTGTCATAGTAGGGCGAGTTTATAGAAATGAGATGCAGTTATATCTGGCATGGTTTGATGTTGTTTTTGCTGTTGTTCTGGGACTTAACGCCGTTTTCAGCACATGATAGGCTATACAGGGCGGCCAGTATTAATGGGGAGAAAGAACCCAGGATATCCGCGGAAAGTACCACAGACCTACGAGAAGCTACTGGCAAGCTTTCTCACATATCCACATTCGCCTAATCGTGGACTCGAACCAACTCTGACAGAGGTGAGATGGCAGTGATCCGTAACGGAGAGAGCTTTAGACCACTCGGCCACTCAGTGCACTGTGGCATGGTTAAAATCCAACGAACTGTTTTAGGGTGTTTGTTTAGTTTTGAAGCGGCAGGTTTCTTTGTTGCTGTATGTGGGCGAATTGTTGTTGGTAGAGAGGGTGCGATGTCAAACGCTTGTAGGCAGTACAAGTTGCAATTGTGCGACGATTTACGTGGAAAACGGTTCTGCAGTCTATAGAATTCGTAAACTTTTCACCGGCAGTATCTTCGTCATGGTAGCAGGAGGAGTCTGTGCAGTTGGTCAATTGTTTTTGGCCTCCTTGTTGTAAGGTACATATTCGATGTATCGGCGTTGATGCAGCATGGGAAACTGATTTGTGTCTCAGTTTACTCATTCAGACTACTGATCAACTATTAAGACATCAAAGCTACTCTAGTGTGGCAACGTTTGATTTTTTTTTTTTGTTTTCAATTAAGCTTGTTTGAGAATATCCCGACAGTCCAATGAATCTATTGTTATGGTTCTTTGAACTAAGACTCTGGTCTTTGTTTATGCTAATTTTACTTTTTTGGCGATGCTATAGCTGAACTTAAATTGAGAGTGGTTGATCTTTGGAACCAGATCCACTGAATCTATATACGATCTGAAATTATGTTTGGAAATGCAGAACTTGATTGCTGTTGATTTTGGGGAAGTAATCAAATTATGACCAGAGGTACGATTCTTGTGATCACTTGGGAAGGAGTTTTTTTTGGCTTCATGGGGCATAGCGTTGAAATTGCAACGTGAGGCGTATTTCGTGCGTGTTATAACATATAATCACCTCTTCTGACGGTTTGAAACCTCGACTATTAAATCCTTATGAATTAGGAAAATATCTCCTAGCACTTGATATTCAAGAGGAGAAATTTACAATCGGATTCAAATTGAGACATAGCGGAGATCTGGCGGACAACAACATGAGCTGATATTATGTTGACCTTTCAATTTACCATTTCAGGCTTTCACGTGTATAGGAATATTAAACGTTGTTCGGAACATATAATTTATAAAGGTATCTCCACATAATACGCTCAATAGCTCTAGTGGCCTACTGGTTAGAGCGTTCGCATCTGATGCGGGAGGTCGTTGGTTCAATCCCCGGCCGAGTCATACCAAATACTTTAAAAAGTCTAAACCACACACACACACACCACCTAACACGAAATGCAGGCTTACAAAAAATAAGTGGACCAGAAAATTCAAAGTTCGCTGCAGACGAAACTTTATCGATACCATTCAAGTCTCCTTATCATAAAGCAGATTCAGATTTTAATAAGATTGCATAAACTTTATACAGCAAACGCAGTTAAAGGTACAAAACAGAGTAGGTGTAGTCGATAACTGTTCATGATGGCAGTACTTCATAGAGTAGGAGCGGTGGTGGCTTAATGGCTAAAGTATTAGACTGAAGGCTAAACTGGTGCTGGTTCGATTCCAACCACCAGATCATGAAAACATCTTGGTAATAGAAATTCAACATCAAAAGAGTGCAATCATAGCTAAGAAAATCCTAAATGTTGTACTTTGTAAACTTTATCCGAATCAGTCGGATTGGCTGGAGGGATTTAAATGCATTTAATGCGTTTATGTTTTGCTATATGTTTAAAACAGAAGTACGTCATTTCTAATGTCAATGATATAATGAGATATTTATCTTAAAACTAAAATGCTTGATTCACTTTAACAATAGTTTCTTGAACCAGTCTGTACTCGTTTATAAGCCAAGTCAAACTGCAAAAACAAAGATTCTGATCTGCCGTAGCATGATGCCCATATCACGTTCTATGTTGCTTGTCATTACATTTACTCTTAACAAACTCTAAAAACCCAAATCTACCAGAGCATGATGGGGCGGATGATCTGGGTATTTGTATTTCGCAGTTGGACTCGTCTTATAAGCGAGTATATAATGTACAAATCTCAAACATAATTCATCGGTGACTGATGCGAAACCATGGCAGATATGAATACTAAATGAACGTTTAGTATTTCAAATTGCCATGTAATTTCAATTTTCATTCTATATACCATCTATGCTCATTTATAAGACGGCTCCAAACAATTATGTCAATTTCTAGAGGCAACCACTACTTCAAGTTATTTCTCCACTTGACGTATATGGCTGAACGCCGTTCCAATAGTGTAATAATGTCCCTCTAGATTGGTTACTCTCGACATAACTGTAATTTCTCCTAAGTCCTGTTTAGGGACGTTTTACAGTATTATGTGCTTGGGATTATATGATTCTACGATGCTGTTTAAATAACGTGTTCGAATTTTGGCATTTTTTGGTAAGAAGTACATACAACATTCATAACAATGTAAAATAACATTCGAATGTCATGATTCGGTTCATATACAGCGAAACCAGTACTTTTTCTTCAATGTATAATATCGTCTCGTCTCAAATTTACTTAAAAGTGTTGACACACTAATGTACACTTGTCCTATATACAATACTATCTGAGCGAATATTGTAGTTCAGAAATCTTACAGGAAACGTATTTTAAATTTTTAATTTCTCAAGTTGCAATCAAAGTCCTGCACAAGGTTTTTTTAGGTCATGGAAAATCTAAAGTTGTATTCATTGGAACCTTAAAATGACATCGTCTATTGTAACATAATTCACCCTGACAGATTGTCGAAATAAGAACGTTGATTGGATGGTATCATATCGTATGTCAAACCAAAACATGATTATTGTTTTCTCTCAGTTGTCAGAGAGATTTATGAGAACAAATCAATTAGTTCCCCTGCATTGATGCAAAACGGCATTATCAGTCCCATTAAAATCGTCTAATATTACAGAAATAATAGATTTACAGAAATCCATGACTCGCGACAATGGTTTAATGAATGCCCCCTGAAAATCTTCACAAAAGAAGACATCCAAGATCTTTTTTGGGACATTAGGGAGACGACTTGAGGTATCCCCACTTGAGGAATCAATTTCTTAACATGTCAAAATGAAAGATTAGTTTGATTTGAGAAATATAATTTGAAAATGTATAAAAGACATGCAAAGTTGGTGGTCCTAATGCTTTGGGCCCACAGACCTCACGTATAACTGATTTTCAATGTTACTATCATATACATATTAAACATTACACAACTCTCACATGAATAAAGGAGTTTGTGATTAGACATCACGACTGTGATAAATTGGTAACGTTCAAAACACATCAACCTCTTCCACTACGGTTCGTTGCTAGGGAATGACCACCCGCGGTGTAATTTACCCAGTGTGGATGGACAGAAAGAAGAATGCAGATCTCTGAACAAGTATATTGAACAAATAAGACAACAAGCCCCTTTTCAATGAACAAATATAAAGGTAATCAATTCAACGACAAAATTTCAAATGGAAGAAATCAATTTCTTTGTTACAAAAGAAAAAATGTATTAGCATGTACTCAAATAAAAACAATACAAATTTTCACGTTACGATTACTTATCAGTGACAGAATTATTCAGTTTCGTCATAGCATACGAGTCGTGACCTTTGAGTTCAACGATAAACGACATCATCACCTGTCTTATCCGGACATCGAATCTTCCGTTCGTCCCTGCACTGCCAACCTTTGTCTTGCCGTCTAGACCTGGACTCTTGCCAGTCGGAATTTGAACGATTTGACGCTTGTCTCTAGACCTGGACTTCTTGCTCAAACTTTGCTCTGGTATTTGGAATTTGTATAGAAATTTTCCAGGAAATTTCAGGAATCTGTTTCCTTAAATAATTTAAAATGTCCCGCAATAGACAATAGGTCACCTTTCCAAGTATATACCTATATCCGTACATTAACTCGGCTCAGAATATAAAAGGCATAAATTCTGTCGCACTCACTCGTTCACCAATTTCTATGTTTACAGACACAGACGGCCAATACATGTCCTGACCTTAATTAGCGGGGAACATTAAATTCCACTTTACGGCTAGCACGTATGTGCCCGTATTTAACACCCTATTTACTTCTCTACAATAAGCTAGCTACATAACACAGTATATTTTTAACTTACATATGGCTTAACCCATCAAATCTAACTATTATAAAATAGTTTACCTGATAAATTAAATATTATGAACTTGTATATGAATATATACTCAAAGAACAATTCATGTTACGAACTAGTATATGAATACACACTCAATAGATCATTTAAATGTTACGAACTAGTTTATGAATATGCACCCATTACATGACATTCTACACAGAGATTTAATTCATAAATCCATGAAACATTACCCATCATGTATTAGGTTTAATTCTTGAAAATTCCTAAGCACTTCTATGTATCAAATATTCAATTATATGCAATTTTGTCAATTCTCTCAATGAACATTCAATTACATGTAATCTTGTCAATTTTCCAAATGAATTGATAATTTAAAAATCAAAGAATAAAATGTCGTGACTAACATTTCACTAAAACCATGAAAAATGAAATCATACATGTACATTATAACATCAATACATATGCAAATAAATCAACAAATGCAATAGCATATTAGAATCTGGAAATTAAGATTGCCTACCTTTTCCGTTTCTTATTCGTTTTCCACGAACGTCCAACGTATAGTCTGTCTCCTATCTGAGACGACTATCTGGCCCCTTACTCAATCACGGGAGAAAGGTACTTTTACGTTAGCCCGGAGTCTTTCTTACTTCCCGCAAATAAGATTGACGACTAAATTTTTTTCCCAAGTAGGACTACTAATTCCTTACAAGAGTTACGTCCTTAAGTTTCCATTAACCAATCAGAATCGACTGTTTCCTAAATTCTCTTACGTAGAATTTTTTATTGACAAAACAGCTAATCATGCCGCAATTAACGTTCCTTTAAACAATCAATTATTGACAAGCTTCCCCTTTTTAAACTGTTGATTTTGGGAAGAGTGTTATGCCAAATACCTTGTACCATAACAGGTGACTCGGTCAAGTTTCGTCGCGTGGAACAAATTTCCTTTGACGTTCTGAGATGAAATGAGAATAATCATATAACTGTCTCTAGCCCTTTCTACTTTAATTAAGTTGACTTTGGTACAATCCATTTAATCAATACTTCTAAGAGTTTTCAAAATTTGACGCATCACAACGACAAATGGAAGAATCTTCTAAATGAGAACAAATGTATTCTTGTACCTGTCAATTATATCATATTTGAAATCGCTTTTTTTGTGTCCAATCTGACCTTTATAAAAAGGCTATCTTTTTTCTAGGATGAGCATAGATAAACTTCAAAGTGCTCAAAGAGCTTCGGGTTTAAAACTTTTTATTCTAGTTTGTGATGTCTTGGATAAATGAATACTCTTTAAACATTGACAGAAACAAATCATTCGAGTCAAAGCAAATGTTTGAGTGAAACCGAGTATTTGAGTGATCGAGGTTTGATTTATTGACGTTCGCTGCTACAATAATAGGCAGTAAAAGTTCGATTTCAACAGAACCGAACTAACCAGGTCTCTCGTGCCCTCCGAACGGGCTGCTCGGAAGAAAAACTTGTTTTCGCCCAATTTATTTTAAAACCTAGATGTTAACAGAATTAGTTATGGACATCTGCATAACGGGTGAACTATTTTCCAGTTCTTTTTTTCGGATTTCTAATGAAATGGCACGAGATACGAAATGTGGTCTCGAAAGAGCGTTTTGCTCCGACCTGGTCTTAGGTTTGTAGTAATAACTGTTGTTGCAACGGTCTTATCTCGACATTGAATTGGACATTATCGATTTTCTGGGATACTGTGCTTCCTGTTGGTTCCCATTGTTTAAAGTTTTATGTTTCCTGTGAAATCATGATTCCTGTACGATCGCATTGTTTTTTTTTTTTTGTTTTTTTTTTTGTTTTCTGAAAATCCTTAATACTATTGCTTATAATTGGTAGGAATAGGGGGAATTATAGAGTCCTATTAGAATTTAGCCTTACTTTGGCCATGATGGAATCTTACGGTAATTTAAAATCGTATTTTCCCACAGTATGGAGTCCTATGGGATTTTAACATGATGTTTAGATGACTATAGACGACTAAACACTCTTTGTTCAAATACCACATAACAAACAGGATTCAAAGCTGCAAATCACTCGTCATAATGCTTACGGCAAGGCCCCATAAA